CAAACAAGAGGGAATGAGGTTCATCTGGTATGATGGTATGATTTGTTTCTGAAAAAACAGGATAGCTTCTAGAGATGATTGCTTCATGTGTATACACAATGTTAGAAAAAAAGAAATTGACAAGACAAGGAAATCAAGGGCATCCAAATGGGGGAAAAGAGGTCAAACTATTGCTCTTTGCTGAAGATATGATCTTATATCTAGAAAACGCTAAAGATTCTGCCATGAGACTACTGGAATTGACAAATAAATTCAGCAAAGTCTCAGGTTACAAAATCAATGTACAGAAATCAGTAGCATTCCTATATGCCAACAACAGTAAAACTGAGAACCAAATCAAAGACTCAATACCCTTCACAATATCAACAAAGAAAGTAAAATACCTAGGAATATATTTAACTAAGGAGGTAAAAGACCTTTACAGGGAGAACTACAAAACATTGAGGAAGAAAATAGCAGAGGACGTAAACAGGTGGAAAACCATACCATGCTCATGGGCTGGCAGAATCAACATTGTTAAAATGTCTATAGTACCCAAAGTGATCTACAGATTCAATGAAATCCCTATTAAAATAACAACATCATTTTTCACAGATATAGAAAAAATAATTTTATGCTTTGTATGGAACCAGATAAGACCCCGTATAGTAAAAGCAATTTAAGCAAAAAGAAAAAATTGGGAGGCATCGATTTACTAGACTTCAAGCTATGCTACAAGGCTATAGTAACTAAAACAGCATGGTACTGGCACAAGAACAGAGACATAGACCAATGGAATAGAACCGAGAACCCAAATATAAAACCATCCTCATATAGCCATCTAATCTTTGACAAACAGACAAAAACATACACTGGGGAAAAGAATCCTTATTCAATAAATGGTGCTGGGAAAACTGGATAGCCACATGTAGAAGACTGAATCAGGATCCACACTTTTCACCTCTCACAAAAATCAACTCATGGTAGATAACAGACTTAAACCTAAAGCATGAAACTATAAGAATTCTAGAAGAAAATGTTGGAAAAACTCTTATAGACATTGGCTTAGGCAAAGAATTTATGAAGAAGAGCCCGAAGGCAATCACAGCAACAATAAAAATAAATAAATGGGACCTGATCGAATTAAAAAGCTTCTGCACAGCCAAGGAAACTATCACGAGAGCAAACAGACAACCTACAGAATGGGAGAAAATATTTGCATGTTATATATCCGATAAAGGGCTGATAACTAGAATCTATACAGAACCCAGGAAAATCAGTAGGAAAAAAATCAAAACAACCCTATCAAAAAGTGGTCAAAGAACACGAACAGAAGCTTTACAAAAGAAGATAGACTAATGGTCAATAGACATATGAAAAAATGCTCAACATCTCTAATCATCAGGGAGACGCAAATAAAAACCACAATGAGGTATCACTTATCTCCAATGAGAATGGCCTTTATCAAAAAGTCCCCAAACAATAAATGTTGGCGTGGTTGTGGAGAGACAGAAACACTCATACACTGCTAGTGGGACTGCAAACTAGTACAACCTCTGTGGAAAGCAATATGGAGATACGTCAAAGAGATACAAGAACTACGATTTGATACAGCAATCCCATTACTGGGCATCTACCCACAAGAACAAAAGACATTCTATAATAAAGACATCTACATTAGAATGTTTATAGCAGCACAATTCACAGTTGCAAAGATGTGGAAACAACCCAAATGCCCATCAATACATGAGTGGATTAAGAAAATGTGGTATACGTACACCATGGCACTCTACTCAGCCACAAAAAACAATGGTGAAATAGCACTTCTTGTATTATCCTGGATAGAGCTGGAGCCCATTCTACTAAGTGAAGTATCACAAAAAAGGGAAAACAAGCACCACATGTACTCACCATCAAATTGGTATTAACTGATCAACACTTAAGTGCACATATAGCACATATAGTCATTGTTCATCAGGAAGATGGCAGTGGGAAGCAGGGATGGGTATATACACACCTAATGGGTGTGGTGCATATCGTCTGGGGACATGCTTGAAGCTCTGAGTCAGGTAGGGCAAAGGCAATATATGTAACCTAAACATTTGTACTCCTGTAATATGCTGAAATAAAAAAAAGAAAAAAAGGAAAAAAAAAGAAAAGAAAAAAATCTAGAAAATTAACTTGAATTAATATCAAACTTGCTAATCTAGTATGAGGAATCCAAGCTTAACTAGCTCAGCTCCTCATTATGGTTAGGGCTCAAGAATGATACTCCTTAAAATACAATGCATTATATATTAACCCCATGCCTTGAGTTTCCAATTTCAACTCACTGTACACAGCACCACCACTTGGATCTTGTTAAAAACATCCTTTTGAATTCATCACCCTTCAGCGAAGAAATCTTTAACTGTTCCTTAATAACTCTAGCAGTCTACCACCCTATACAATCTGAGTCTTAATTTTCTTTCCTTTCTTTTTTATTTCTTTGTGACAAGGTCTTCCTCTGTTGCCCAGCCTAGAGTGCAGCTGGTGTCATCAGAGCTCACTGCAACCTCAAACTCCCGGACTCAAGCCTCCTGAGTAGCTGGGACGACAGGTGCATGTGCCACCATGCCCGGCTAATGTTTCTATATTTTGTAGAGACGGGGTCTCACTCTGTTGCTCAAGCTGGTCTCAAACTCCTGGCCTCAAGTGATATTCCCACCTCAGCCTCCCATAGTTGAGCCTTAATTTTCTAATTGAACTTCCTACTATTCCTCTTCAATGAATCTTTTGCTTGAATATTTTAAACACCGTTGGGCTTTTTCCCTTGTACGATGGTACTTATGCTGCCTCTGAGTCCTAGAGTATTCTCCCCTCTTCTACCTTCTCATCAAAGTCCTATCTTCTTTAACATTGAGCAGCTCTGCTTTCTGAAGTCTTTGACTTTAATTAGAGATGTTTTTATTTGTTTGTTTGTTTTACTTCTGCACTTTCTGTCTGGGTCACTCATCTGGAAATCAGTATATTCTTCTTAAATTGTTTGTTCATTTATTTGCTTATTTGCTTTACAAAATGTTCTTTCTCCCTTAACACAGAATCCCCTTCTGGACCCAGTTTGGTATAATACTTGATGTACAGGCCCTCGATGTTGGTTGCTAATTTTGTCAGGTGTTAAAGGGCAGGAAGGAAGACTTCCATTCTCTCTGAATGTTCATTCTGACTACCAGTCACAGGGGAGGAGGGGTGTATGCTAGCCAGGAAAAAGCTAGGGTTTTTACTAACATATTTTGTCAGGACGCTTTCTGACACTCATGCTCCCACCTCCCAGAGAGCCCAGGAAATCCAGCACACATGGGACGTTTCTCTCAACTGCTGGGTAGCTGGGAACAGAGGCTGTGGTTGCTAAGCAGTTGCCCAGGGCAGCTTGGCCACCCTTGAGAACCAAGAAAGGGGAGGAAATAAAGAATTTTCCTAGCCATGCAAGCAATCACTTGAACGTTAAAAGGAAACTAGTCTTGTTATGTTCATAGTAAATTTCCTCAATTACAAATGTTACAACAAATTTGTCTGATGTTAATGGAAAGCATACTTATACACACATTCATAAAGTGAACATGCATCAAAGACATTTTAAAGAGTGTTCTTTGACATCATAATTTGGGTTTGCAACATAAAGAAAACAAATAGTGTCTAATCAACTAAGTAAGCTTTAGGGACTTTTAAAGTATGTTGACTGATAATGATGTATTTCTTTTCTAAGAAAAAAATGGATTTTTTAATGGGCATAAACATTTTTAATCCCTACTTGGATATCAAGCCAATCGAATTCTCCAAGGGGCATAGGAAAATGTCAAATTGACTTTTGTTAATAAGGTGCTATATAGGTTATATATCTTAATACATTTTCTAATTATTCTAGAGCAGAGATACTTAAACCGAGGGTCCACAGGGTTCACAGATCCCTCAGATCCACAGAATGGCTTCAGAGGGTCTCTGAACAACCCGAAATTATATGCAAAATTGGTGAATATGTTTATAGAGAAAGGGTTTATAGATTTTATCCGATTCTCAAAGGGGTCTGTGACCTAAAAAAGATTACAACTATTTCTTAAAGACTATTTGAGTCACAATCCTCACCCATAGATACTAACAAAAGTAGGTATTTGTAATTAAGGTATAGATACAAAACAGGGCTTAGCCATTTTCAGGTTATACATTTCACCCAGCTTGATCCAAAACTCACTTCACAATTATGCATGTAGACGTTAACTTACCCTTCTTGCTGTCTTTTCTATGGTTATTAGGTCGAATTATATGAAATTGCTATTTTGTTAATAAAAAAGGTCAAATATTGACAAATACATTATACACACTGTAATACATTTCTAGTTTTTAGGTACATGCTGCTTATAGAGAATATTTTGTATACTAAAAGTGGTGCACAGTTATTACACAAAGTCTTAAAATTGGCAAGAAGACTTTATGGTCCCCATAGGTAGGGATCCCAGCAGCAGAAACCGGATCTGAAAAGGATATTATTTTCACACGGTAGGGCCAATCTAAAAACTGAAGATAAATGGAGCCAAGCTTCTTTAAATCATGTTTACAGACAAATCAATAACTGAAATAGAAAGTTATCAATAAATGTCCGGAATTATTATTACAGCAATAATAATTACCCTCTCAATCTTCTGAGGTACAATGAAATAAATAACTTTTCCAACATTATTCAATTACCTAAACTAGTTGTTCATCTCCTACGGAAATAAGAAGTCCTCTGTAAGTATCCCTTTCATTGAAGGGGTAGGAAAGCTAAGTGAGGCAAGAAAAAGGTGGGAAAAAAATCACTGTATTAAATGGATTGTCAGGGTCTTGCACATAGTAAGTACTCAATAAATATTTGTTTGAATGTTGAATGTTTTTTGAGTAAAAGCTATAAATTTCTGTATAATTTTTTTCAAAGAACTACTAATATAAATGCCAGATGGGACAACATCCACAGATATGTTACAGACAGACTTTTCTGTGATACTTACCTCAGCGGAGTTGTGATACTGAATGAAGGTTGCTGAAATGGCATGGCTGAAGGGGTCCCCAGCCTTGGTTACCATGTCCTGCCTCACAAGAAGAGCCAGATCCACTAACTGGAAGATCAGAGCAATGAAATAAAGTCACATAGTTGGAAGTAACCATGAATACCACTGAAGCAATACATTTTTTCGTTCGTTCGTTCATTTTGAGACAGTGTCACACTCTGTTGTCTGGGCTAGAATGCAGTGGCATTATCATAGCTCACTGCAACCTCAAACACCTAGGCTCAAGTGGACCTTCTGCCTCAGCCTCCTCAGTAGCTGGGACTACAGATGTGCACCACCATGCCCAGCTAAGTTTTGTACTTTTTGTAGAAATGAGGTCTCGCTCTGTTGTTCAGGCTGGTATCAAACTCCTGCCTGAAACTGTCCTCCTGCCTTGGCCTCCCAAAGTGCTGGGATTACAGGTGCAAGCCACCATGCCCAGCCTTAAGCAGTACATTGTGAATGTGACTAATAATACTTTTTGACGAAAAATCAGTATTGTGGACATGAGCATACACTTTCATTGACTGGTGAATGGACCTATCTGAATACAAATGATATATTCTGAACTTCTAGGGGAGTAGCCCTCAAAATTTATTTAATAATCACTAGTACAGATTTCTAGGGCCCAAGCCCAGATATTCTAATTCAGTAGGTCTGCTCTAAGAGTGTAGTATAGGACTGTGGTCCCCAATCCTTGGTCCATGGCCCGTTAGGGACTGGGCTGCAGAACTCTGCCCCTCCTATGGAAAAATTGTCTTCCACGAAACTTAGGAAAGGTGGGGGGGATACACAGTAGGAGGCGAGAAAGCAAAGCTTCATCTGTATTTACAGGGGCTCCCCATCACTTGCATCATTGTCTGAGCTCTGCCTCCACTCCCCACCCTACTCCTGGGGAAAAATTGTCTTCCATGAAACTTAGGAAAGGTGGGGACACACAGTAGGAGGCGAGGAAACAAAGCTTCATCTGTATTTACAGCTGCTCCTCATCGCTTGCATCACTGCCTGAGCTCTGCCTCCACTCCCTACCCTACCCCTGGGGAAAAATTGTCTTCCATGAAACCAGTCTCTGGTGCCAAAAAGGTTGGGGACTGCTGGTCTAGGAATTAGCATTTTAAACAAGAACCAAGGAGATACAGATGATTGTGGTCTAAAGACCATACTTTGAGAAACTCTGTTAGAGGGCAGTGATTCCAGACTCAGAATTTGGTAAGCACTCAGATAATCTCACATACCTAGAAAGGTTTTTTTCAAAGCTCAAAAATAATCTCCAAACAAGGCAGATGTGGACTTTGCATTTGAGAAAGAGTATGCAGGGATTCCATTTCTGGTTAGGATAAAGCTGTAAGAAACAGTCTTTTTTATCCTAACACCTGCCAGAGCTGAGGACGCAAAGAAACATAATTGAACTAAATTCTAGAAAATGACAGAATTGTCACAGGAGAGAACTCATGGCTATCATTCCTGGTAGAGCAGCAGGTAGATGAACTGATCACAGAGATAAGGAAAAACCAGCCATGTGTGGCCTGATGTGACAGACTAGAATTCTTACCTGTGCCACAGTTTCATATGCTAAATATGCCAGAATTTCCATAGCAACAACATTGGGTTTTATCTCCATACTGCTGCAGTCCAACCAGTCTCGAAATTTGGAAGCTTTTTTAGCTAGCCATTAAAAAAAAAAACAAGTGTAGAAAATTAAATTTTTATAGTGTATTAATATTGCACATTACTATCAAAAAATGAAAAATATGACTACTCAGAATTACACACAAAAAATAATGTATATAAAATGCAGTGTTTTTGAACTTTATTAATGTCTAGATGTTCTGGCCCCAAGCCCTAACTTTTAACCCTTAGGTACAAAGCAACATAATGGTTGTTTTCAAGAAATCTCTTATGCATTTGGGTCTTTTATTTTGTAACTATGCCATATGACATAGTATACTAAACCACTTAAGGTTTAACACTTCTCACATTGTTTAAGAGTAAGTTACCACTGGCCATAGCTTATGTTATAACAATAGTTGGAAGATGTACTTGCTTGATGTAACTTTAATTACTCTTAGGGAAAGAAAATCCTGTGAGAAGCAACCTATGATGAAAAAAAGAACATACAGAAACTGCATTTTTAATACTTTCCAAAATGTGTCTATTATTAGAATAGGCTCGAAGTTGTGAATTTAAAATTAATTGATATCTGGCCTGATCTAAGCATGTGATTACATTTCCCGATTACAAAGATGTCTAGATTCTTAAGCCCAACTCTCAAAACTGTCCAGACTAATTGCAACCTGCCTTTACAACACTTTTCTATTAAACCATCACCTGGCCTTGAGTATAATCTTCTGTGTTCACTCCTGCTCCTCTCCTTCCATGGAATGCTCTCCCATCACTCTTCTTCCTTCATGAGAATCCTTACCATACAGGCCAAAGGTTTACTTTCCCCACTCTAACCATTTATTGAACACTTACATCGTGACTGCTTAAAATTTCTCCTCATGTCTCTGCATACCTAACAGTACCAAGACTATACAGAACCAAGCACATATGGAATCTTTAGTTAAATATCTTTAAACTGCCATAGTGTTAAGCAGAGTCTAATTTGATATAGGGCCTTCATTAGACATTATTAATTTAACTAGTAAACTAGAGGGAAAAGATTGACAGTAAAGATTTTATCAAATCTATAAGATTATCTTTTTTTAATAAAAATCCACTGATTATTCTTTTGATTAATCTGGTCCCAGAGGTCTATAAAACACTTAACAATAACTCAAAGCATGATGTTTTTGATCTTTCTAGATAGAATCTTCATGGATTCCACATACATAAGAGTTTTCTTTTAAATAAATCACAGAAGACATTAAGTCCCGCTATCAAAGTGCATATCCAAAGCTGTCAAATGTGGCAGAATTATGATAATCCCCCTGAAAGCTATCTCCCCAAAGTAACCAATCTTCCAAATACTATCTGACATGCAACATTCCATCTAAATAGTAAGCTGCAATAGCTCACAAACACTTGTTTAACATCTGTGCAGTACTTCTGAAGTTAAAGTTAACAGGCAGCAATTTGGCAAGATCAATAAAATGTACCTTATTCACTTCTCTTGACAGACCGTTAGGACAGAAACAGATATTTTGTGATTGTGCTCTAAACAATTTATTTTAAAAGTGAGGGGAAGGATCATTAGTAGTATTCAGTCAGATCCATCCACATAAACAACAGATTTAGTAGCTTCATCACTACTGAGAATGTAAGTACTGTAAGTACTGAGAATGAAGGGACAAGGACCATGCGTCCACCACTGTATCCCCAGCACCTAGAATAGTGCCTGGTATTAGCAGACCCACAAGATATATTTCCAGAAGAAATGACTGAATGAATGGATGAAAGAAAAAAAATATTTCTTTAATAAAAAGGTAGGGTCCAAACTTTCCTATGCATCAAAAAAGATGCACAGAGTTTCCAGAAACCACTTGGGTTATGGCTATTCCACCAACAGGTGAAGATTCTCTGAGCTAATTCTCTCCTTGTCACCTAGAGAAGGATTGCTTCAGAGACGGACCCTTCCAGTATATTGCTGGTTCCAGCAAAAGAGGCATACATACCCCTAGTTATGACAGTTTGTTTACATGAAGAGGTGAGGTGCCTCAGAATGAATGAGTTTCTTCTCCTTTGCCCCTCTTCCCAACATATCAGCAAAAAGGGTATTCTGGAAATTGATTAACAATGTAAACAGAATCCTAAACAATGACCAAAATTTCCTAGGATTATCAGCTTTCTGAAACTACCTGGGTTTTCAGTATGTGCTAGACTTAAAACAACTTTACATAATAACTTCATATGGAAATTTAAGATTTTCACACACTTTCTATTCTTATCAATGATCCCTAACAAAATTTAAATTTCTTACAATATTTCATTCTCTCATTCCTGCATACTATTTCACTTCTATCCTATCCCTCTCACCAGCCTTTCAATTTCTGATCCTTCCCTCAGGGTCCTCTGTAACACTCATTCCACTCCAAAGAAATTCCTCTGTGACTTTAACCTCTTCAAAATCACTGCTTTTTGTATTAAGGTAATCAATAAGGTATATTTTATTGATCTTGCCAAATTGCTCTCCTTGGAGAGCATGGTTTTCCTTAGAATCTTCCACAGTAGGGACTCCTGACTCCCTTCCTTCTACACATATTTATGAGCAGCTATTGTTTGTCAGCCTGTTCGTTTTGCCAGATAGCAGAGGACCTGTAGGCAATATCTTCATTGTCTTAGTTGCTCCCACAGGAAAAATATAAAACACCAAGTAGACTGACAGCAGACTTCTACCAACAGAGGCCAAAAGACAATGGAATTATGTTTTAACAAATAACGATAAGCCTGTAATTTCCTACCTGACTAAACAGTCATTTAAGTATGGGGGCAAAATAAAGCGACTTTAAGACAAAAATGAGTGAGTGCTTTAAGCCCTTACA